CCCAGGGATGGGGCAGCCACAGCTTCCCTGAGCAACCTGTGCCAGGGCCTCACCACCCTCACAGGAAAGAATTTCTTCCCAATACCTAATCTAACCCTCCTCTCTGTCAGTGTGAAGCCATTCCCTCTTGTCCTGTTGCTCCAGGCCCTTGTGAATAGTCTCCAATTTCCTTGTCGGCTCCCCTCAGGTACTGGAAGGCCACAATTAGGTCACCTTGAACCCTTCTGTTTTCCAGGCTGAACAATCCCATTTCTCTTTAGCATATCAATCAGAAACCACTGTGCAGCTGGGACAAGCAGATAACCAGACTGGGGCCCGGGCAGAGCCCAGCAAGGCATGGACAGACAAGGATTCTTTTTAAATTGTCTCATGGTTGTGATCTGATAGAAACAGAAGGAGGACAACTGGCATTTTAAAGAGCTTGCTAATTTCAGTCTTTAATTTAAAATATCTAAGTTTTAAAATTCTGAAAAGTTCCGTGAAGTGTTACAACCTTATATGTTTGCTCTTCAAGGATGTTCAGCAGGAACTGTGCTGAAAGAATTCAAGAGTTTTGTCGCTAATCTCATGTGCCATCACAGAAGGAATGGTGGTGTAAATGTTAAATAGATGGTGAGTATCAATCTTTTGTGTGAGTGCTCCAGGAAATGCAGATCTTGCAGTGATGGGACTAGTTCTGCCAGAGGCTGATTACATCACTTGCCATTGACTTCAGACGATTCCCAAGTAGGAGCTAATGCCTTTAGAAACTAGTTTTTAATGAGAATGAAAAGTTTCCCTGGTGGCTCGGTGCAGGTACTTCCATTCCCTTAAAATGAGAGTGTGTAAACAGAAGAGCTGGGATGCTTTGGGTGAGAAAGAGAGGCTGGATCAGTGCTGCCCTTTGTGCCAGCCAAGCAGCACCAGACAGCAGTGACCAGTGTGACTTGGCTGGAAAGAGTTATCCCTTCATTCTCTGCATCGGGATTGTTAGGAAATAGTCACAGTTCAGCCTCTCCGATGTGTTAGCAAATTCCTGTCATTGTTTTCCAGTGCAAATGGTGCTTACCAGAGGCTTATCTGATGTTTTTTAACAATTATGATAGACTTGAAATTTGGTCCTGGAATATGGAGGGTTTAAGTCTTTGGATGCCATGGTGGTGGAATCAGCAATGTCCTTCACAAACAAGGCACTCCCTGGCTGATTTCAGTTCAAAGTGCTGTAAACTTAGAAGTGTTTTATCAGGATCCAGTATCTGATTTACAGCTGAGGATGTGCATATTCAGTCTGAAATTCTTTTGTTCTGAAGATTGCAAAATACTTTGTGAATGTTTAATAAATGAAGTTTTCTTATATAGGCAGAATCTAAAACATTCAACTCAGTAAGGTGAAATGCCAAAGCTCTGGAGCATTCAAAACTCCAAATGGTCACTGTTGGTAGTGATCACATGATGGCCTTTGCTGATTCTGAATTGCTGGGAAGTAACTTTCTAGGACAGATGACGTAACAAATCCCTTTTGGGTTCCAGTGTGTCCTGAAGCTATAAATAAATGGTACAGGCAGACTCCAGAAGGTGGAGGTTGGCCTGCTGGGTGAAATTCCAGAATTTCTACGGTATGGAATCCCAGCTCTTTCCTTTCAGCAGAAGCTGCCCCAGCACAGTCACTGCCAGCTCTCCCTGGTGCTCCTTGCACTAAATGAGCTGCCACATTCCACATTGATTGGAGGTGGATATAACCCATCTCGTGCTGATTTAAAGGCTGAGGTGTATCTTCCAGACAGTCTCTGAGCTGTCATATTGTTGCTGGACAGTTTCTTCTGCCAGTCCAGATTCTCCAGCCGCTGTTTATTCGCTCAGCCCCAGCCCAAAATGCACAGTGCCTGCCTACAGGAAATCTAGGACAAGTAATAGCCTCAGAAAGGATAGATGAGGAAAAACACTGGCATCTCTTCCTCTGTGTAAAATAAGCTGATTCAGTCTGTCAGTATGAAAAACAGCCTGTGGGATAAGAATATACTCACAGCTGTCTATGCAGTCATAGAAATTGAAGGGGGTGAATCAGTGCTCTGAATACATCACTGAAAGTCTTCCTGAATCCTGATGCTCTGATTGATGCCATCAGATATCACCTGTTTTCATGACACAGGAACTATAATTTCCTGACTTTTTGTAGAGCTTGTCAGAGAGACAATTTGATACTAAATGTTGATTTATTTGAATATATCTATCACTAAGGGAAGCTTTCTCAGTCACCTTGTTTATGGAGCTTGGGAGACCGTGTTCTCTTAAGGTTCTGTCACAAAATCTGCTGGTCAAAAAGTTCTCAGTACTCCTGGTATATATGAAACATAACAATATATAAAGTCTGTGTTTGACTATGCTTCCAGAAATTTATTTCTGGTAAGTCATGAAAGCTGAGATTAAATCCTCTGAACACAGTGCAGGTAAAGGGTAACTCTGAGGACACATTTTTGGGTTTCTGTTATTCTTAATGTTTAAAATGGACTTAGTTTTATTGCTCTCACCTATGTGGTATTTTTTTATTCCAAAACTGTAGCAGGTTGAATTGATTTGCTTTTCATGGGATTGAAGAACACAGTTTTTAAATGGCAGAGTGATGGGGTAGATGCAGTGGACACACACTGTGTGCCTTAATAACAGCCCAGATCTGAAATCTGTGGAAGGGTAGCAATGCACTAGTAGGGCAGTGCATTTAAAGAAAAAAGAAGTCTCTGCCAACCTTCTCCAAGCCAAGGCTTGAAAAAGTGTTTGCTCACTGTAAATCACCATCTGACAGCGCTGCTGACTCATGGACTAGGATCAGTTTGCTCAGGGACTGTTTAGGCCTTGCTATGCATTAACTTGTCAATTTAGGAGTGTCGCTTTGCAAGACAGTGCTTGTGGCTTTAAGCTCATGCCTAGTGCTGGTTTGGGTTGGAGGATGCTCATGCCAAGTGTTTCTGAATTTTCTGTCAGTGACTTAAATGCAATTTCTTAGGTTTTTGAGGAATTCTCATCACTAAGCAGCAGGCAGTAGCCCCCAGCTTTGCTTCAGTGGACCAGCTGTGCACAGGCAGATGTTGCTCTGTATACACTGGCAAAATCAACTCAGCTCTTCAGTCAGTGGCAAGAAAATTTGCTCAAGCATTGCTTTTACGGGGGGGAGGGTGTCTTTGGAAGAATGTGATGGTGGAACAAAGCACTGACTGCTTCAATTTTCTCTGCAGAGTGAGCAATCCATGGAGACAGGAGCCCTGCTCAAGTTCCTTTTCTGGCAACATCCTGATCCCTGTGGGTATGGAGGCAGGGAATGTTCAATATCTGAGTTCTGCAAAGGCCCCAGTGCTATCACAGAGAGGCCTCACTGCTGAGAATCACAGAATTGAGTCTGGAAAAGACCTGCAAGGCCATTGAGTCCAACCTGTGACTGATCCCCACCTTGTCACTGAACTTTCTCAGCAGTGTGTTCACACAGGGTCTGACTGCTCATTCCCCAGAATAGCAGGAGTAACTTTTAATATTTAATTTCATAGTCTCTGCAGCCTAAAATATGGTAAAGTTTTCTTGTCTCTGATTTGGAAACAAAGGATGTCATCCCTTAATACTGACAACTTGCACATTTATGTGGGAAAATGAAATCACAGCAACTGAAATCCTTTCCTGCTTTTTGCTTTATCCACTTGACTACAAACCTTCCCTGGAAATCAGGCAGTTTGCTTCTGGTGTTATTTCAGGGCTTGTTTTGTCTTTTTGAGTTTTCCCCGTAGTTTAATTTCCAATTGGCAGTCTCTATTTAAATATTGTAACATGAAATTCTTCTAAGCCAAGGGTTTTGGTTTCATTGACTTGGGTTTTGATTATAAAGCCTATGGATCTTCTCAGTGATTTGGAAATCTCTCAAGGGGAGGCTCAGGCTTTTATGTAACAAACTTAGTTTACAGTCTGCTAAATAATTTTATGCACAGTATGAAGAAATGGGAAAATAGGCCTCTCCATAGGAGTGGTGTGGAGGAAGTGATTCCCATGTGTATGGTTTGTAGAGCAGTTGGAGATGTGCAGGTTCATTGCTATGAAATCCATGTGCATCCCAAGGGCAGTTGGCCATTTTCTCTCTCTGCTGCCCAGTCATTGCTCACACAATTAACTGAGAGCCAGGGTAAATGATGAAATTCTACAAGTAAGCAGAATCTGAAGGCAAATGCATTGCTTTGACTTACCAGAAGTGGTGACTTTTGTTTTTATAATGATTCCTGGTTACACTTATAAATGGTCCCCAGTGTCTTCTGTAGAGTAACCACATTCTAATGAAATACCTCATGCCAGTGACTCTTATTAAATACTCTGTGAAAATGAAGGTGATAGAATAATTGTTTGTGCTACTGCTGAGGGTATAATTAACAAGGTTTGAGTGTAGCTGTTGTCAGAATAAGCACACTTTTCATGTGAAAATCCCTGTTCACAGTGTTAGATTCCTATTTTACATGTATTCACTGCAGTTGATCAAGATAATGTAACAGTTAATGAGCAATTGGCCTTGCCTGAGTTATATTGAATTTTAGGGTAAATTCAGGTTAGATGTATGGAAGAAATTCTTCCCTGTGAGGGTGGTGAGGCTCTGGCACAGGCTGTCCAGAGAAGCTGTGGCTGCCCCATCCCTGGAACTGTTCAAGGCCAGGCTGGACAGGGGTTGAAGCAACCTGGGCTAGTGGAAGGTGTCCCTGCCCATGGCAGGGGGTTGGAACTGGATGGACTTTAAGGTCCCTTCCAACCCAAACCATTCCCTGATTTTATGAATTATGTTGAATCATGTGAGTACTTTGTTGAATTCCATTGCAAAGAATGCTCAGAGAAAAACAAATCTCTACCAGCAGCAGAAGGGTGGGGTTTATTCAGGGAATCACTGACTGTGTGTGCAGCAATATCCCATCAGCTCCTTTCTTCCTTCTCCTTGGCATGAGCTGTAGGTTTGCTACCACCAAAACCTGCCTCATTTTAAAACCTTTGTAAGGGTTCACAGATGAAGGCACATACTTGGCCAAAGTAAAACTGAAACAATGGAATTCAGGAACCAACGTAAGTTCTGAGCTGGAGGAGCTGACATTGGAATACAAAACAAACTCGATGAGGTGCAGACTGAAAGCTGGAATCTGAGCTATTTTTAACTAGACAGTTGCAGCTGTGGTGAAAAGCTGAGATGTTTGTTCAGTGATAAATACAGAGATAGTGGCCAGCTGGTAGTCAATTCACACGTGTGGAAAGGTGGATGAAGAGCAGCATGCAGTTAAAATAGCTGAACTTGACAGATCTGCAGATAGATTTTAGGTGACGTTGATTTTTCTGAGTAGCAACAGATCCTAAAAGGGATCTGAGCTGAATTTGCATTTGAGATCAAAGTCCTGGCAATGTGCTGTTGGGAAAAGTGGACAAAATGTGCCACACGAGGCATGTGTGTTTGCATTAGCAGGGTGGAAGCATATTCTATAAATACAGGTGCCGAGAAAACCACTGATTTGGCAGCTGTAATGCCCTGACGAGGCCGGAGGAAGGAAGCATTCTGCCAGCTGGCAAAGGCAGCTCCTGCCCGGGAAGATAAAGCAGCAAGTGTCCCTGCACAGTGTGGGGACAGTCATGGAATGAATACAGGGCTGGTCAGGTTTATATGTGAGTATTCGGGGGGGGTTGTGGTGTGGACTGAGGTGTATTTCAGCTAAAGGAGGGATTTTTTGGCCAGGGCTGTGTGAGTGATGGACCTGGGGAAGTTTGTACACCAGGACTGGTTTTTAATGAAGGTTTTGGGTTGCTTCTCTCTGGGTTTAATACCCCCAAATTGAACTTGCTGGCTGCCACCTCACTGGGACAGTGCAGGTCTTTGCAGAGAAGGAGGGAGTTTTGGGATTGGGGAGGGGTGGAGTTGAGAATCATAGAAGCATAGAATATCCGGAGTTGGAGGGGACTCACAGGGATCTTCGAAGTCCAACCCCTGGCCCTGCACAGGACACCCCAACAATCCCACCATGTGCCTGAGAGCATTGTCCAAACGCTCCTTGAGCTCTGGCAGCCTTGGGCCGTGACCACTGCCCTGAGGAGCCTGTTCAGTGCCCAATCACCCCTCTGAGGGAAGAACTTTTTCCTAATATAGGAGGTCATAGTTGATATTTGAGGTCACAGTTGATCTCAAGGCTCCTGACTCGGTGGCTGTGTCATATCTATAACCTCCTTTTTAGTCTGTACCCTTTGGAGCCTGCAGGAGATGCCCTTTTATAATTGGGAAATAACAAATTACACAGGCGAACTGTCAGGCTGTGCCTCTGCGAGTTGTTTTTTCTCTTTTCCAGCTGCATACACAACATGCCTTTCTATGGCAGTGTGTACAATAGCTGGGAATCCAGGGATACTTGGCAGGACGGTGCCGTGGGATTTTTCCCGGCCCGGAGCTGCGGGACCGGGACAGCGGCGGGTTCCGTGGGAGCGGCCGCCACCTGGCGGGGCCCCGCCCGCACTGCACCCGCCGGCCGGGAACACGGGATCTGGGAATCACGGAGTCACTGGGGCTGCAAAACACCCCCGAGATCATCGAGTCCAACCCGTGACCCATCCTCACCTTGTCACCCCGCCCAGAGCACTGAGTGCCACGTTCCTTGAACACCTCCAGGGATGGGGACTCCACCGCCTCCCTGGGCAGCCCCTCCCAATGCTTGACAGCCCTTTCCAGGAAGAAATTCCTCCTGATGTACAACCTGAACCTCCCTTGGCACAGCTTGAGGCAGTCTCCTGTTGTCCTCTTTTCTGCTTCCCTTGTTCCCTGGGAGCAGAGCCCGACCGTCATCTGGCTCTCCCCTCCTGTCAGGGAGTTGTAGAGAGTGAGAAGGTCCCCCCTGAGCCTCCTTTTCTCCAGGCTGAGCCCCCCCAGCTCCCTCAGCTGCTCCTCATAGGACTGACTCTCCAGACCCTTCCCCAGCTCCATTGTCCTTCCCTGGACACACACAGGGACCCTCAGCCTCCTCAAGTCTGGGAAGGACCTCAGTTTGCCTCGTGGCCTCTTTGGATCCATTCCCAAGGGTGACACATTGTCAGCACCATTCATATTGCTGGTGCTGTTACAACAATTAGAAAAAAAGCATTTTCATAGAATTTATTGTTTCTAATTCGCAATGCTGCCCCTCCTCTGGGCAGCCAAGGGTGCTGAAACTCTGGGAAATAATCCAGAGCAGTATTTCAGTGTCAAAGAAAATGCAAGTGGGACTTGATGTAAATTCTTTGCTGTGAGGGTGGTGAGGCCCTGGCACAGGTTGCCCAGGGAAGCTGTGGCTGCCCCATCCCTGGAAGTGTTCAAGGCCAGGTTGGACGGGGCTCGGAGCAACCTGGGATAGTGGAACATGTCCCTGCCTGTGGCAGGGGATTGGAACGAAATGATTTTTAAATCTCTTCCGATCCAAACCAATCTATGATTCTATGACTTGTGCTCTTAAGTGGTTTCAGAAATCCAGTTGTCACTGTCCATATCCAGCAAAACCCCACTGCTGCAGTGGGACACGTCTCTGCCGAGCACCTGCATTGGCTGGGCTGACCACGCCGGGCTCCTCTCGGTGTCGCGCAGCTGCTGCTGCCTGAAGGACAACACGACAACAGGTATTTAATGTTTCATTACTGTTCAGCAAGCGGCTGGAGCAGGCAGACTGTCTGGGGTGAAATTCACTCTATCGGTGCAGGATCTGCGGCAGCACCCGCACCAAGGAGGTGCCGCTGGTTCCTCTGCTGTAGAGACCAACAATGCACCAACCAACCCTCAGCCCGGAGTCCGCCTATCACTGGCAGGAATAGATCAATATCTTGCATGAAATGTATC